ATAAATAAAGTCCAGAAATTTGTTTTGTAGCTAAATAAAAAACTTTTGAAAATTCTATTAGTTCTTTTACGTCAATCCAATCATTTGCATCAAGTCTATAGTCCATATTTGAATTATGAGCATTCCAAACCATTTGTAAATGTTTTCTATATCCGTAAGCGACTTGAAGCATTTCAAATAAAGAATTTCATCTAGTACACACTGATTTTGGAATTTTTCTAGGGGGGAAGATTAAATTCACGATCACGATTTTCAAATTTTCTACGTCTAGACTTTACTTTACATTTAAAAATAGGGAAAAATGACAAATATACCCCTGAACTATCACAAATGGTATATAAATACCCTCCGTTATACTTTTCGTTCATTATTGCCCCTGCCGTCTAAAAAGCAGTGCACATTTACCCCTCACTATAACGAAAGACTTATTTGATACACGTATCGCAATCCTACGAAGGGACCTGATTTCACTAATTAATTAAACCCAAATTTTGAAAACCCACCCATATAAACCATCCAAAAACCTAAAAAAACTCCAATTCCTCAAACATAAGCTCACACAAACAAACCAAATAACCAAGAAAATTCCAATTTCACCTTCATCTCGACAGACCAAGTTCATCAATTCATTTTTGTTTTCGTTAATTCTTCGTTATTTTCGTCGATTCGTCATCCATGTTCTTCTTTTCTTAGTCAATTCTTGATCGATTTTGCGACAATCAGAGAAATCACGAAAAAATACTACGCCAACTATTTCAATTCAGCTAAACCTAAAACCCAAAATGCATAATTTTTTCTAAAAGTGATAACCTCAACCATACAACACAAGATCAGTGATAAACGAGAATATGACCTTGTAAAGGCAACAAATAAAAGCATATTAACAAAAAAAAGTGAATTTTCGTTTTACTTGAAAAATAAAGAGAATGAGGGTAAGGGATTAAGGGAAAATTAGGGGGAGGGATTAAGGGAAAGAGTGAGAGTTGACCATTGTGAGTGAAAAGAGGTCTGAATTGAGGTTGAAAATGGCTACGTGCAAATTGCAATGTGCAGATGATATTGGCAGAAATAATAATGTGGAGAAAGAGATGTAAGTCATATTACAATAGGCATTAACATGAGTCACATAAATCAGGTTGTACATTTGGAAGTAAATCAAATCGAATGTTAAGATAGATTCTGCAACTACAAGCCATGGATATTTGAGAGAAGGGGATTTTTCTTTAGGTTTTTAGATACGTTATTTGTGTGGGTAATGGGGGTATTGGGTGGGTTAAGTGGATATGGGTGAGTTTTTAAAATTTGGGTTTAATTAATTGGTCAAATCATGTTCCTTCATAGGATTGCGACACGTATACCAAATAAATCTTCCGTTATAGTGAGGGGTAAATGTGCACTGCTTTTTGGACGGCAGGGGCATTAATGAACGAAAAGTATGACGGAGGGTATTTATACATCATTTGCGATAGTTCAAGGGTATATTTGTCCTTTTTCCCTTAAAAATAAAATGACATGCAGTTTCACATTTTATGCAACCATTATTATACATTGCTATACCATCTCTAACAATCAAATTATATGTGTGCAACATACCTAATATGAAAACCATCAATATAAACAGGGCAAAGAGTCGATTTTAGTATTTCAACAGCAGATGTATTATTAGAAGCATTATCTAGGTGACACTAATTACTTTATCACAAATTCCATAGTTTTGTAAAACATCTAAAATAGTTTGAGCTATGTAACTACCGATTTTATGCATTTCACAACATTTATAACCTATAATTCTTTTTTGCATAATTCAATTTTCATCAATCCAATGGGCAGTAATAGTGAAATAATCATTACCATTTACACTACGACTCATATCAAAAGTAATAGCCAATTTACAAGTATTATAATAAAATCAACGAAGATATTTAAAATGTTGAGCTTGATAATAAAAAATTGCCTTTTTAATTGTGTTTCTTGTTAAACCTTTAAAATGTGGATTATATACAATTTGAATATAATGAATAAAATCGAGATTTTCAGCAAAACTAAAGGCAAGCCCATAACAACAATCATTTTAGCTAATTCTTCAAGATCTTTTTCTCTACTATATGAGTGTTGTGTACTAGGGCCAGAAACATTAGAAGGGTTTAATGTTGATAAGACCATTTTAGACCCCCCCCTACTCCTACAAATGCATTAGGAAAGAGGGGGGGTACCATTTTTTTTAGTCTCGGCTACAACTTTAGCATGCAAAAATTTATTCTTACAACATCCCATTAAATGATTACTCAAATGTCCTGTCCCACCCTGTTTTCCCACAGTTTAATGATTCATTTTATGTTTACATTTATTGCAAATAGCTTGTGTTTTATCTTTACTTTGAGTCAAAAATTGTCACACAACAGATTTTTTAACACGTTCTACCTTGGGCCTAACCTGACTAGGATATGGGGGGGAGGGGAGTAGGACAACGAATGGGAGCGGGAGCGGGATTGGGAGTGAGACTAGTAGTCGTAACTGACTCTGTTTCTTCTTCTTCATCATCAAAAGTATTAATATCATCATTAACATTATTATGTTCTACTTCTTCTTCTTCTAATTCATCATTAAAATTACCAAACCTTGCTTGTAAAGATTCATGATAATGATCTAATTCAATGTTACTATCAATATTAAAAACAGTTTCATCGACATGCGTAAAATTTTCCGTATTTATTCTTAGTTGTGCTACTTGTCTAGTTTTAGATTTAGAAGAACTACCGATTTTTTTTATTTTTTTTTTCAGAACAGTAAATACATTAGCGAGTGCACCAATATCAATTCTTTTACCTTTGACAACATTTTTTTTACCGGAATCCATATTAAATTATGAAAAGTGAGTAAATTACATATAATACGAAAATTAAATACAAACAAATAAATAACTAAATAAGTAAAGACTAAAAAGATGAAAGTTGGAACAAATGTACCAAATGTCTACTTAAAAAAGTAGACGTGTATGACAGAAAGCCGAAAATTGATAGATGAAAGTTGAATCTTCAAGCTTGAAGGTTTCTCCAAACTCCAAAGACCAAACTAGTAATCCACCAAATCTTTCAAACTAATATAATTTGTAATTTATTAGAGATTAGATACTTGAGAGTTTAGTTGAGAGAATAGAAGATGAAAAATATTTGTGAGTAAAAATAATGAAAGTTTTGGGTGGGGGGGGGGTTATAGTTAAAAAATAGGATAAAAATGTAAATTTTAAAACTTTGGGGTATTAAAAAAAGTTTAGGGATAGGGGGATGTTTTGGGCGGTTAAAGACTGAAATAGCCATTGGGTGAGGCCCAATACCCGTTACCCAACGGTTGGCAACGACTATATTGAGTTTAAAATAAATAATAATAATAAATTAATTAATAGGATCCGAACCGGAACCGGCACTTTCTGGACCGGAACTAACCGGTAATATTCCGGTTTTCGTCCCGCTACCCCTCCCGGGTCCCCTACACTTCGAAATTAACTGGAGCTTGCCGGAACTGTACCGGTACCGGCACCTCCCGGTTCCGTTGCCAGACTTACTCTATTGTGTATTGAGGAGTGTATATACCATGAATTTCTTGGTATTAGTAATGTAAAAGGATTTAATACATGTATTAGCGTAGTTAAAGACACAATTACCCCTCAAAAATACTTTTACATCTTTTCCACTATAATTGTGGAGGATATTTGTGTAAATATGTATTTTTAATACATCAAACCAAACAATGCATAAGAAATAATTTATGCATAACTAATAGAAGCATTATTACTACACTCTATTCATGTGCATTATTTTTGTACACTCTATCAAACGATCAATTAACTAATTTAATTTATAAGATTTAATTAAGAACAAATTATGTAAAATATCAGTTCACAAGTTTTTCTTAGCTCAATTTATAAAAATTACTTTATATGATCATTCAGCCATATTTTTCCCCCAAAAAATGGCCATTGGCTTTATAAAAATATCAGTTCATAATTTTTTTAGCTCAATTTAAAATGCAACGTACCCCAAATGAAATAGTCTCGAGCGAATTTTATACCAAATGACTTGAAACATTGAGAGGATTTAATATATAAAATTTGAGATTGTTTAGAGGTAATTTTGAGTTCATCGAGATTGAATAGCTAGTGTATACTTCATATATAGTTAAGTTATATTCATCTTTTTGACGATATCATTATAGTCAATGTATAGTTTATGTATATGTAAACTATATTGTATAGTCAATGTATATTTTTTATAACTTTTGACAAACTATATTGTATAATCATTGTATATTTTTTTTATAACTTTTGATTTTTTTTTTATGTAAATAAAACATGGCTCAACCAAACACACACAATAATAATTACCCTAAAAACCTTATTCTTCAAAAATACATTAAACATTTCCCACAAAAATATTTAATTTGATATCATTACCAAACACATTTTTTATATGATTACACGACTTACCGCACTAGAAAATCAAATAGAACCATGTTTCCAACAACCCACTCGTCATATGGAACCGAAAGATAACATTTTATTGTCAGATTCAATTTAAAAATCAGAAAAAATCAAACAATGTGATTTAATCCATTAAATGATATCAAATAGGGGATTATAGAAAGTAATTTCATATTATATCGTCGTACCATATTAAGAATTACACAGATGGTGAGAACTCAACCATAGATGAAACCATGGAAGCCATAACTGGCAACTGAGAGAAAGCAATAACAGAGAGGAAAATATGATTTGGTAAAATAAGAACTCACACCTTTCATTGATCAGTAGTGAAGTACTTATATACATGTGTGAATATACATCAACGAATTCTGCAGAAAGGAAAATATCTAACTAACTAATTAGCTCTCTAACCGACTCTGACATCACTAACTAACTGCACTAACTAACAGAAAAGATGGAATCTAACTAACTGAATGTCATAATTAATACACATTTTAATCATGATTGTTAATACCCCTCCTCAAGTTGGAGGTGATGATTTCACTGCCAACTTGTGTAAAATGACTGAATGTTTGACACCTGTGAGAGCCTTGGTAAGAATGTCAGCAAGTTGGTCAGAGGTGGATACATGGTGCAGAGAAATGAGCCCCTCCTGAAGCTTATTGCGCACAAAGTGACAATCCACTTCAATGTGTTTAGTTCTCTCATGGAACACAGGATTACGAGCAATGTAAATAGCAGATTGACTGTCACAGTAAACAGCAATAGGAGAAGAGATAGGAACAGTCAATTCAGTAAGCAACCTGTGAAGCCAAGTCAACTCTCCTACAACCTTTCTGAGTGATCTATATTCTGCTTCAGCTGATGATAGGGAAACAGTCTCTTGTTTCTTGGACTTCCAGCTGATGGGGCTGTTCCCAAGTAGTACTAAATAGCCACTGACTGACCTCCTTGAGTCTGGACAGGATGCCCAATCTGAGTCACAAAAGGCTTGAACTGTACAGTCAGGGTCCATAGATAAGTGTACTCCCAAAGTAGGATCCTTCTTTAGGTATCTAAGAAAGTGATAAGCTGCTTGTAGATGAGGAGCTCTAGGATCTTGCATGAACTGATTCAATTGTTGAACACTGAAGGCTATGTCCAGTCTGGTATTAGTAAGGAAGTTCAACTTGCCTATCAACTTCCTATAGAATGTGGGATCAGATAGAGGAGGACCTTCCTTGGCTCTTAGTTTGACAGTAGGATCTAGTGGTGAAGACAGAGGTGCATAATTAAAGCAATCATATTCTCTGAGTAAGTCCAAAACAAACTTTCGTTGTGAAATAAGAACCCCCTCTGTTGTGTCAAGTATCTCTAAGCCCAGAAAGTAATGGAGTCTGCCAAGATCCTTGATCTTGAAAGTGTCGTCTAGATACACTTTGAGCTGTACAATTTCAGTTGTGTCTGTGCCTGTCAAAATAACATCATCTACATATACGGCAACAAACACTACCAAGGGTCCGGCCTTCCTGTAAAACAGTGAGTGATCATAATGTGAGTGTGTGTAACCCCTGAATGATAATGCCTCAGTCAGTTTGGCATACCACTGCCTACTGGCCTGTTTGAGACCATAGAGTGACTTATTTAGCTTACAAACCAGACCTGGATTAGGTATCTCAAGGCCTTGAGGCACTTTCATATACACCTCTTCATGGAGATCTCTATGAAGGAAAGCATTATTAACATCAAGTTGAAACATACCCCAACCTTTCTTCACAGCACATGCTACTAAGGTTCTTACAGTAGTCATTTTAACCACAGGTGAGTAGGTTTCAGTATAGTCTATTCCAGCCTGTTGTGTATATCCTTTGACTACCAGTCTTGCCTTGAACCTTTCTATGCTTCCATCTGCTCTATGTTTAACTTTGTACACCCATCTACATCCAATTGCCTGCTGGTAGACTGACAAGATCCCAAGTGTTGTTGGCATACAATGCCTCAAATTCTTGTGTCATGGCTTTCTGCCATGCAGGGCTCAGTGATGCTTCCTCATATGATGATGGCTCACTATCATGACAAACATTCTCAACAAGAGCTTGACTGTTAGATGTAAGGACATCAGGAGACACATGGTGGTGTTTGGTAAACAAGGCAGTAAGAGAAGTGGGATGATTTTGTATGTTTTGTGTGTTGATGTCAACAGGTTTTTAGGCTAGGAATGTTGACAATGTAATCTTTCAGATGTTGTGGAATTTTTATTTACTCTATGGGATTTTCTTTGCACTACTGTGGAAGGAACATGTGGTGGTGGTGTTGGAGATGTAATGGTAAGGACAGGAGGTGGTTGTGCAATGGGATCCTCAATGGTGTGGTCAGGTGGATGAATGGGAATTGTATCAGTTACATTGTTATAGTCACTTACACAATTATCACATGAGGCTAATTCAGTATAATCAGTAGAAGGAATAGACCTCAAAACAGAAGGAAAAGAAGAGCTTTCAGCTGACAAAGTAAAAGGAAAGACATTTTCATGAAAGATCACATCCCTGGAGACATGTATCTTCTTTGTAGCCAGATTCATTACCTTGTAACCTTTTGTTCCAAAAAGTTATCCCAGGAAAATGTACAGATTCATTACCTTGTAACCTTTTGTTCCAAAAAGATATCCCAGGAAAATGTGTGGGGTGGTTCTTGGTTCAAGTTTGTCTCTAAGTACTTTCGGGACAGTGGGGTAACAAAGGCACCCAAAAGATCTAAGTTGGCTATAATTTGGTTTTCTTTTATACAGCAGTTCATAGGGGCATTTATTTTTCAGATGACTTGAGGGAAGTCTATTGATGAGATGGGTGGCTGTCAGAACACATTCTCCCCAATACCTTATAGGTAGTTTAGATTGAAACAAAAGGGCTCTGGCTGTTTCCAACAAATATTTATGTTTTCTTTCCACCACACTGTTTTGTTGTGGTGTGTATGGACAAGTTTTCTGATGAATGATCCCTTTGGATAAAAGAAATTGGTGTGTTTCATTGTTGGTAAACTCCAGACCATTATCTATCCTAATGTTTTTGACTGTGGTGTTGAATTGATTTTCCACCAGACCTATGAAATTTTTCAGAACTTGTAAGGCATTGCTTTTGGTACTTAAAAGATGGGTCCAAGTTGACCTGCTGTAGTCATCTACTAATGTAATGAAGTACTTGTAGTTGTCATATGTGGACACATGATATGGTCCCCTGTGAAGTAGTTCAAAAATGGATTTGGTTTGGCTGGTACTGTGATTAAAAGGTAATCTCTCTTGTCTTGCCATTGGACAAATGTTGCAGGAAAAAGGTTGTTTGGGAGAAAAAGTGGCTGGTAATGCAGTGATACTCTTCATTTTAACAAAAGGTACATGGCCAAGTCTATTGTGCCACAACAAGTCTACATTATCTCCAGAATTGTTACAGGAATTATGGTCAAACAAGACATCAATATTATTGGAAGGAGAAGTACACACAAGAGGAACAGAGTTGTGAACACTATGAGATTTATGTGCAGTAGAAGGTTTGACAGAAGAAGAATTGCATGTTTTATTTTTGCTAGAACAAGAAAAAAGACTATTATTAGGAAAACAACAACATATTTGACTTGTATTGATTCTATTAGAAGTCTTCAGGCATTTTGAGCACAAGAAGTAGAGCCCATCTCTGCTATTACCAATCACCTGAGGCCTCTTCACTGAAGGGGCCTGCAACAGACACAATGCATTAGTGAACAAGACTATGCATTTCATAGAAGTTGTTAAGGAATGGACTGAAACTAGATTATACTTAAAAGAAGGCACATATAATACTTGATGTAAAGTGATATTAGATGTGACTGGTACATCCCCAAATTCTGTTACCTTAAACTTTGTATCCATTTGGAAGTGAAACTAGTATAGGAAAAGGCAGGGTTCTAATGTTGATTAGGGAAGTTCTGTTAAAGGTTATATGATTTGATGCCCCTGAGTCTATGATCCACAAATTAGCACTTGATTCAAAACATTTGCATGAAGGATTGTCAAAATCAGTAGAAAAAGAACAGACCACAATACCTGCAAAGTTCATGGATCCAGCAGCAACACTGGAGGCATTATTGGCACCATCATCTTCTCCCACATTTTCATTCTGGAAATGTTGCAACAGGTTCATAATCTGTCCATATTGTTCCTTTGTGAAGCTAACATTTGGATGATTGTTGCCTTGTGACTGTTCCTCTCCATGAGTATTCATCATGTCATTTGCAACACCATATACATTTGCCACCACTCTCTTCCCTTTGAAGTTTGGGCTTTGTTGTCTGAAACTCTGACCACCATTATAACTCCCTGACCTGAAGTTTTGATTATTGTTGTCTTGGGGATACCCATGCAACTTGTAACACTTGTCCCTAGTGTGTCCAGTCCTCTTACAATAATCACACACTATAGCATTTCTACCACCAGTATAATTGCTATTACCACCTGCATAACTGTTTCCTTGATAATTTGTCCTGAAAGTCCTTCCTCCATGACTCTTGTTATCAAGAGAATTTGCATTCAAAGAGATTGAATCTGTAGGCATTCGACCAATAGGCTTAATTCTCTTTGTTTTTCCTCCTGGATTAACAGTGAGAAAGCCTGTCCTATAGAAGGGAGTGGATTCATCATGAGGATATTTCCCCTCATTACTGTGTACACTTCATTTAGTCCCATAAGGAACTGAATCAAACGTCTATCTTGCTCTGCCTTGTGCATACCATCCTTTGCACCACACACATATACACAACTACATTGATTTTTCACACTCAAAGTATTCAAGTAAATTTGAGAATAATCAATAATGTAATGAAACTTCATGATGTATCAAATGACATTAATCATTGATAAGTTGGATTTTTTAAATTTTATAATGGAAGAACTTACTACCGGAGCCCTTAACCAAAGAAGGCCCATGCATACAGCCACATATTGTTACTTCAATTGTCTTAATTGACCTAATATCTTAGGAACAAGAATAAAGTGTAGTTATTGATCACCAATGTTTTTTTATTAAATTCAATGCAATAATACATAAATGTAAAGTTGAAACATAAATCTAACGGAAGCTGCTAATCATTTATTTTTCAACAATGTCATACTACACCACAATGAAAATTTAATGTGGATCGAAATCTCACTAAGATCGAGTCAAACTTCAATAATAAACATGTCATGACATATCTGCAACAACACGCATGTAATATTATTAAGAATTACACAGATGGTGAGAACTCAACCATAGATGAAACCATGGAAGCCATAACTGGCAACTGAGAGAAAGCAATAACAGAGAGGAAAATATGATTTGGTAAAATAAGAACTCACACCTTTCATTGATCAGTAGTGAAGTACTTATATACATGTGTGAATATACATCAACGAATCTGCAGAAAGAGAAAATATCTAACTAACTAATTAGCTCTCTAACCGACTATGACATCACTAACTAACTGCACTAACTAACAGAAAAGATGGAATCTAACTAACTGAATGTCATAATTAATACACATTTTAATCATGATTGTTAATACACATGTCATGATGTCAATATAAACGAACGAGTATGGTTGAAATTAGCATATTGAAAGATTGATAAAAAATAATCAGAGCGGTTATGATATTATAAAATTTTCCTCTTGACCGAATATGTATTAATCTTGATTCACAGATTCATTTTATGTGGTATCCATGATCGAACTAAAGGTTACCAAGGAATCATGCATAACACTGAATTGAAAGCCACCGAATACCCCACAACTAACATGTGAAATGGATGCATAAGGATATTGTGCTCAACTGGAATTTTTTTTCTTCTAAATCATGAAACAGAAAAGACCTTTACCAAACTTATGAGATATATATTACATTTATGTTAATTATGTCTTGTTCTGGAATTTTTGACCAAAGTAAGTCATTATGTAAATCAATTCACCAAAATAATATGTTTTTTTGAAATTTTACAAAATTAGAATAAGCGTATTTGGCAGTAACGTTTTAGGTATTATTTTATTAAAAAAAATCAGTAACAAAAAGACAAAAAGCTGACGGAGTTAACAGACCTAAAACGTTACTTTCAAATACGTTTTATTAATTCGTTACTCACAATCACGTTTTATGACTAAAACGTTACTGACCATAAGAACTCTTTAGAATTCAATTACAGATTGAGGCTAAAACATAACTGCGTGTCTGCACATGTATGTAAACTTTGGAATTATGAATTTTTTAAAAATAAAATGTAAACATATAAGTTACTATGTTTTAATTAATTTGTAAGAAACTGAAATTGCAAATTTGTAATTGAAATCTTACCTTTTAGTAAGATTTACATCCAGAAACTTCAAATTTAAGTTTCAAATTAGTTGGTCAAATACCTAACTGACAAGTTAATCGAAATCACTCATTGAAATTTGAATCTTATCTATGGAAGAAAGTCAAATTCCAAGAATCAATTCAATATTTTTTTTAAAGAAATTTTTGAAAAAGTGGGAAATTTATAGTGACAAACATAGCAAAGACGACAACTGTTTGAAATGCCAGCAAAAGAGTTTTGCTTACGGAAACGCAGAGGTTGTTTGTGAAGTCGTCGGAGAAATAAGGAAGAAGAGCGTCGTAATAATTGGGGGCGGAGGAGTTGTGGGAGTGACTATTGAGGTTGATGGTGGTGAAAGTCAGATATAACATTTTAGTCTTAAAACGTTCCTGTGAGTAACGAATTAATAAAACGTATTTGAAAGTAACATTTTAGGTGTAAAACGTGATTGTGAGTAACGAATTAATAAAACGTATTTGAAAGTAACGTTTTAGGTATAAAACGTGATTTTGAGTAGCGAATTAATAAAACGTATTTGAAAGTAACGTTTTAGGTCTGTTAACTCCGTCAGATTTTTGTCTTTTTGTTACTGATTTATTTTAATAAAATAATACCTAAAATGTTAATGCCAAATACGTTTATTCTAGTTTTGTAAAATTTCAAAAAACATATTATTTTGGTTAATTAATTTGCATAATGGCTTACTTTGGTAAAAAAATTTCTTGTTCTGATACCAATTGTCGTCAGTAAATCACCTAAAACTTGATTTTGTTTGTAAGAAAATATATGCAGAAGAAGTAAATTCAATGTAAAAAGTGAAGAAGAACCTCACTATTTATAGTCAACGATGTGGGGCGGGGTGGGTTTATGGCTATGCGGGGCGGTGCAGGTTTAAGGTTATGCGGGGCGGGGAGGGATGTGGGGCGGGTTGAAGTGGGTTTTTTAGAAACTAATGCAGGGTGGGGCGGGTTGAGGGTCTATGCAATTTTAAGTCATTATCTATTAAATTAATATAACTTGATGAAAAAATAAATTTGTATTTATAAATTTTATTTTTAGTATCAAACTTACCTAGAAAAGAAAAATATTAAACAATTTATACAGTGCGGGTTCATTGCTGACAGTCCGGGGACGAAAGTCTCTGGGGGAGGGGTTCTATGGAGCAAGTCTCCCATTGCTTTCACAAACCAGTGGGGACAACCCCTCAAGAAAACGAGTTTTCCACGCGACGATCTTTATTTGAACACGTTGTTGAGGGGCTGGACAGAAAGTTACATTGTGAGGCTAGAATAAAAATATTTATTTTTAAAAATAGATTATAACCTAATTTAAAAATATTTATTCTAATTGAAGTTATAAAAATTATAACCTAATATAAAAGATATATCATTATTTTTAAAAATATATTAATAAAAAATAATACGCAAAGTAAAACTAAAGGTATAATAAGAAACACATTGATATGTGGTGCATCGAGAACATTCTCCTCCTTTAATCAAAGATCTCTGGCTTGAGCTCAAACTCTAAATATGAAAAGAATATGGTATTGAGCTCTTTTCACGAATGAGGTGCGAATTCAAATAAGTTCGTTCGAACAAGACCAAAAAGATAACTAAAAACAAAGCAAGAGACAATTGATTGTTGGGCCATGGCAGTGGCATCTTTTAGTACCATAATATATAGTACATGCCAAACCAATCTTCTTGTCATCAGTTTGTTCTCTCTATATATGTGAATTTGATTCATAGTTTGTAACAACTAAAAATTAATTAAATGGCGTTAGAAGATGGTGGTGGAAAATGGAAGAACGTTGCTCTACTTGTCATAGACATGCAGGTAATTACTAATTTGATGTTTTTCTCTTGTTATAAACTAAATAAACACACCTTAGCTAGATAACTTGTAAATATACTTATATACCGTGGCAGAGATAGGTGGAGGTTTGTGGATTCGGATGAATCCAAATTCTGTATTTTTATTAGACAATTTAATAAATATATATATATATATATATATGTATATTAACTTTTAAACTCCTAGCAAAATTGATTAATAGCTCAATGGTAAGGAAGGACGGTGAAAATGCTTTACACACTAGTGTAATTGTGGATTTAAGCCCCGCTATCAACAAAAAATTCTCTTAACCCTGGCTCCGCCTTTGCTTATATCTTTCCGGAAAGACTTTATAGGTGGGCCAGTGAAAGTAAAAGGAGGTGAAGCTATCGTCCCCAACGTTATCAAGGCTGTTCAAGTTGCAAGAAAATGTGGCATTCATATAGTTTGGGTATCGATCTTTTTCGACCTTTTCATTTATTATCTCAAAACCTTCTTGTTTTCATAACTTTCCGTCAATCAACTACACCTCAATTCTAAACAAGTTTAAGTCAGTTATATTAAATTTTCATTTTCTTTGATGGATTTTTAGTGGATTTGTTATGTATTTTCTTATTACCGAGAGACACATTCGTCCTACATGGCACCCTATATGACAATTCTGTGTTCTATGTGACATCCTACGTGTATTATGCTACATAGGACACATGTGTCTACTTGTTCAATTTTATACAAGTTTAAGAGTTTGTTTGACATTGCTACTAAAAACTGCTTTTTTTCAAAAGCATTTTTTAAAAAAAACTTTTCAAAAAAGTGTTTTTGAAAAAAAAACAATTTGTGTTTGACTAATTCATTTGAAAAGTGCTTTTAATAAGTAAATTGTGTTTGACTAATTTTTTTTAAAAAGTGCTTTTGGGAGTCAAATTACGATTAAGGGTTATTAATGTACTTTTAATATTAAGATTATTTTATAAAGAGAAACTAGTTTAAACATCTATTACAAAAATTAAATTAATTTTTATTTTATTAAAATAAAATGTTCATATTCAAATTTTCAATCAATATTATACATTTTTTGAAGGGTAGAAATTTTTAACTGTTATGTTTTTTCTTTTTTTTTTTCGTAATCTTACAAAAATATTGTTGTTACCTTTTTCTTGTTTTCTAATTTTATAAAATAATAATACGCAAATGGAAAATAAAATATAAAATTTATTATATAAAAATTAAAAATAAAATTATTAAATGAAACTTAACCAAACATATGAGATATGTTAATTAAGTAATATATATATGGAAGGGACATTTTAGTCTTGAAAATAAAAATACTTCTGCTTTTTTTAAGAAGCAGAACTTTATAACTTCTTTCCAACAGTCGAAAAATTGTTTATGGTTTTATTTAAAAGCACTGTTACAGTTTTGTCAAACACTTACTTTTTCAGAAAAAAAATATTTTTTTTTTCAAAACAAGGCTTATGGAACAGCAATGTCAAACAGGCTCTAAGTGCCTATTTGTATATATTCAAAGTTAAGTCAGTTGAAGTCAAGTAAAATGTCATTTTTATGTATTATGCCTAACCTTATCTATAAAAGTAAGATAATTTCCTCTAACAACATAATTGTGACCAACAATTAACAATATTATGACATTATTTTGTGTAGGTTGTACGTGAGATTGATCCATTAGGGAGAGATGTTGAATTATTTCGTCGTCACTTTTATACTGCTGCCAAAACAAAGGTGGCATCAAAGGGAAGTGTTGGGGCTGAACTTGTTGATGGACTAATTATTGAAGAAAATGATTACAAATTGGTCAAAACACGTTTTAGTGCTTTTCTCAACACACACCTTCATTCATATCTTCACACTAATGGCATAACAGATTTGGTCATCACTGGTAATTAATTAAATACTGGAATTATATTTTTTTTTCAAGATGTTTATTAAGGGTAGATGAGTAAAAATACATCTTACTTTCTAGAAACGAGTAGTTTTCTTAATAAGGGTGTACCTAAACAAAGAGCAATTAACAACTCAATTTTTTCTGAATCTTCGTATCAAGTCATAAAATTAAAACTAAAACAAAGGGGGTATATAACATTTATGTAATTAAATAAAATTATTTACGAGTACCTTTTGAGTAACTTGATTATATAAAGATCTTTTACATTGTTACCTGATTATATAAAAGTCTTTTACATTGTTAATACACTAAACATGAACTCAACTGAAAAATCACTATATACAACATACTAAGATATACAAGATGAGTAAACTTTTTTGGACATGGTAAAGCGAGCTGTTTTGGAGGTGAGACATGAAGGTATAAGTTTTTGTATAAGTAATAGGATCGGAGTACTATTTTTGATAATTGATTAGAAGGTAAATTATTTCATTTATAATTTTAATATAGCGTTTGGTTTGTAATTTTGAAACTCCTATAAATAATATGTGAATAAATTATTTATTATTTTTATTATTTTTTTAATTTTTTCTTTTGTAGGTGTCCAAACTCCAAATTGCATACGACAGACTGTGTTTGATGCAGTATCATTGGACTATAAGCATGTCTCAGTTATCACTGATGCAACAGCTGCAGCAACACCTGATGTACACACTGGTATGATGCTTTGTTTTTTAATTGATTCCCCCTTCGTCTCAACTTATATGACATTATTTAAATTATCACAAAATTTATCAAAAATATAAGACTTCTAGGAAAAACAAAAGAACAAGATTTAAGGATAATTCACATAGCATTGCAAGCTACTAACATGTTCAAAATTCTCTTTGTACATCAGCCAACATAGTTGACATGAAAAATATTGGAGTGGTGACTCCTACATTAGAAGAATGGTGCCAATCTACAGAGAAATACATCAGTTGAACTCAACATATATGTATTTTCTTCAAGCTTCATGCACGTGTGTGATATACTTGGGTGTTTATTCTAGTCATCTTACATAAAATGACATGATGAAATTCCAAAATTACTTATGATGATAACATGCAATTTTAATTATCTTATATTTGTATCACGTACTTATCCATGTACACTGCACTAAAAATGATCTTCGGTGGCTATTAATTAATGAAAAATAACTTGATTGCTACTAAATATATGTTTTTAGAGGTACTTATATTATTAGTGACAATTACATTTTAGAACTCTTTGAAAATGCCACTAAAGCCTACAGTAGGATTGGATCCAATGATAATTAACTAATGTTGGTAAACAAGAATGACAATGGAGCAAAGCAGTTTGCTTTTAGATTTTTGTTGTGGATTCACAAAACTTCAAACAACTAACAAGCAACATTTAGTACAAGAAAAAAACCTTTTTGTGGGGACACAACTCGCCACAGAAAGTCAAAATCGCCACTAATAACCTGTCATGGCGACCCACGGGTCGTTGGCTATACTACTGATACTTTTCCGCGGCAACAACACAAGTCGTCACCAAAGGTCTAGTTTTTGTGGCGACTAATGCTGCCAGAAAAAAAGTATCAAAATTAGGGGTGTGCATAAACCGAACCGAAAAAAGTGTTATTGGTTTATTGTTATTGGGTTATTGGACTGATGGATTTTTTAATGGTTTTATAAAAAAAAATTATCGGGTTATCGCGTTCGGTATTGATTTTTAATAATGGGTTATTGGGTAAACCGATAACCCATTAAGCCTAGTAATTTACTATATTTACTTGTACATAAATATTATATATTAATCTCAATACCTTACTAGTTACGGTCTTTATCCTTTAGCCTTCAATTCACACTTCAAAGTGACTTTTAGTTCACAACTTCACATTATATATACAGCACGTCAAAATCTAAAATAAGTACCCTATTCCTCTTAATTTCTCTTTGTGTTACATTTGTATAGTTTTTTTTATTACATTATTGTGTTGTTGCGTCAAATTTATTAGAGAAGTCATATATTTATTTTATAAGTATTTTCTTATTGGTTAAACCGAAAACCGAACCATTAAGGACCAAAACCGATAAAAAGAAACCGATAAAAAATCTCTTATTGGTTTGGTTATTGATTTGACGTATTTAAAAACCGAAAACCAATAAACCGAACCGATAATACATAAAACCTAACCAAACTGACCGATGCACATCCCTAATTAAAATTGCCACGAAAACCACCCCAAAAAAACAAAAAATATTGAAAAAAAGTGAACAATTATTTTGTTTTTAATCCAATTATTTAATTGCAATTACAATTCTTTTCCATTCACCCCATCCCAATTTTTTTTAACCCCTCCCAGGAGCTCCCACATTATGCTTTCTTGGAGAATCGAACTCAGAACCTTAAGGTTGGAAATGAGGGTGCTTACCATCCAATCAACTCTCGCTTGTCTTTCATTTTTATTTTATTTTTAACTTCATTCACTTTTTTCAAATTTAGCTTCTATAAAAATAATATATTATATGATTATTTATACACATACAAATGTATGAAATTTACCACCCACAATTCATTCAAATGTGGATTATATTTGATGTCTGTCGATATTTGGCAAGAGTTGGTCTCAAATTCATGTGTAGACACTAGTTAACCCCTCAAAGGGCTACAAAGGCATCATGCTCAACCTGATGACCACCTATGTGTGAAAAAACACTAGTTAGGTTACGGTTGGTGTGCCCTAAGAATTACTCCCTAGCATTTTAGGAAACAATATGAGTCATGTATGATTTTGATTTTTGTGTGGATGTGAAAATATCTCATGAGATAATTACTTGAAAGTATAATTGAGTATTAAAATAGGTCAAAGATTTTTAAATTTTATCGAATTTAGTCATTAATCTATTGATATTTTTTTTTCTTTTTTATTAAACACACTCGAAACAATTTCTCTCTATCTGCATCCACCTGCATTTCAGTCTCTACTCATTTTTGAAAATTTTATTAGTGATTTCATTACTATATGATTTGGTGATATACAATTTTTGCGATGAAGTTTATTGCATCAATGATGAAGTTATTGGTTTGCTTGTTTGGAGTGAAATGAATGGTCTCATATGTATATATAATTGAGCGATTCCTGCTTTTGGACAAATTTATATATTAAGTCATTGTTTTATCTCTATTATTGTAGTTACTATGAAATACTATTGACATTTCGTTGAAGCTTCGAAGCTTCAAAATTTTAAAAATGATTTTCTCAAATAAGTCAGTTTAAGTGTGTATTTTTTCAAAAGATAGTTAGTTACATATTAACGAGCCTAAATATGAAATTTAGGTGATTTGGTGTAGCTTTTGAGATGTTTTAGGGTGAATCTTATGCTTGGATTCAAGGAAGAAAGACAATTTATTTTTCATATATGATAATGTATATTATTGTATATGAGTGTATAAACACCTTTTACAATTTTGTATAATATTGTATATCAAACTTTTAAACATTTTTTGTATAAAATAAAATATGAAATATTGTTGTATATCAGATGTATAATATTGTATACCAATTCGTATTTTGAGCTAGAGATTTGTAACATAAGTTATAATCAATATTTTTGCAATATAAATTAGGTAATTGTATATTTCTGAAACTTCTCGATACTTAATTAATGAGGAGAGAGGAAAGTAATGTGTGTGCATAACCAAATCATATCCCATACGTCCATAAAGAATGTTCGAAGTCTTTTGATATATTATTCACTCAAAACGATTTATATTTGTGGTAAGTCAAATTTTAACATTAAGCTTTGAAAATGCTAATGAAATCTTTCAATTTTGACCAACTCAAAATCTCTTCTATGCAGTCTGAAATCTAGATATGAGTCCCTCTCGATATTTTACGTCTTATGATGTATAAATTACTCACTAATGATTAACATTTATCGAAAATGATTCACAACTCAAAAATGCACTTTGCTGGAAATTAAAAGTGGCTGAACAGCCATTTTAAGTATTTAATGATACTTGAGTTATTTTGTGCAAGGAAATTTAACCCAACGAAAATTTATCTAATTTTCTCTAATATGATAGACAAAAAAAAAGTAGTGGAAAAATTATATAAATAAATAACTTAAGACATTAAAATCTCTAAAATTCTCTCCCATTTAAAAATATTACAAAAATTCCCTGTCGAATACATTCCTAATTCCTATCTCTTCTTGAATACATTCATATTCCCTCTCTGATACATCCCTAGCCCCTCTCAAATACATCCATCCCCTCTCAAATACATCTCATTCTCTCCCCTCTCGGATACATCCCTCCCATTAAGTAATGTATCATTTGCAGTGTATCAAACAACCAATAAATATATACGAGAGCACTAAAAAATCCAAATTTTTTTATAGCTAGGAAACCTTTTGGAATGTGATGTAATTAACCACCAAATGTATGAGATTTCTGTAAAATGCGCAAAAATAATGGTAGTTGAATAGTGAAGAAGGTAAAGCTAGGTTCTCTTGGTTGGGCCTGATTCTTTGGAACTGGTCCAATAGATGTACATATATCCCTTTTGATTCATAATTTTTGTCCCTTTATCTCAAATATGTCAAGAGATGATAATTATTTATTTGTATTAAGTATTTATATCAATTAATCAATTTAACTTATCATGATTAAGTGATTTAATTAAGGATAAATTATGTAAAATATCAGTTCATAAGTTTTTCTTAGCCCAATTTATAAAAAGTACCTTATATGATCATTCAACCATACTTCCCCCCCCCCCCCCCCCAAAAAAAAAAGGCCATCAGCTTCTGCGTCTTCTTCTTTAAAATGCGACACCGCAAATGAAATCGTTAATTTTATATTAAATAAATTAAAACATTTAGAAGATTTCTTATCTAAAATTTGAGACTTATTTAGAGGTAATTTTAAGTTCATCGAGATTGAATAGTCAGTGTGTACTTCATATATAGTTAAGTTATATTTAGTTTTTTGAAAGTATTATTATAATCACCGTATAGTTCATGTATATGTAAAATATATTGTATAATCAATTTATACTTTCTATGACTTTTGACAAGCTATATCGTATAGTCATGGTATACTTCTTATAACTTTTGGCTATTATAGATATATATTATTTTTAAAAAATAATTAAAATTAGCCCTTTAATTAATCATAGTTAAGTGATAAATGTCTATGAGCAAACAGATAACATGTTAACCTATGTATCGAGTAGGGGTGAGCATGGTATGAAATATATCGAATTTCCATTTCATATCGAAATTTTTAATATTGTGATTTTGGTATTATGGTATATGATATGCATTTTTTTTGGTATTCGGTACGTTATAGTTTATGCATGAAATCTTCAAAAAAATTTAAATGAAATTTATATATTTGTAAACTAGCTAAAGCGTAATATAAGTGACAATAATTGTTGAAGTGTACATGTGATCATCTCATCTAAAAACTTAAGCTTTTAGAGAGAGCACACTTTTACTATTTAATAATATTCTCAACATGCCCCCTCATGTGCGGGCCTGATTTTTTTTTTCATGGACCAAGCACACGTGGTATGATGCTTCGTTTTTTAATTGATTCCCCTCCGTCTCAACTTATATGACGCTATTTAAATTATCACAAAATTTATCAAAAATATAAGACTTTTAGGAAAAACAAAAGAACAAGATTTAAGGATAATTCACATAGCATTGCAAGCTACTAACATGTTCAAAATTCTCTTTGTACATCAGCCAACATAGTTGACATGAAAAATATTGGAGTGGTGACTCCTACATTAGAAGAATGGTGCCAATCTACAGAGAAATACATCAGTTGAACTCAACATATATGTATTTTCTTCAAGCTTCATGCACGTGTGTGATATACTTGGGTGTTTATTCTAGTCATCTTACATAAAATGACATGATGAAATTCCAAAATTACTTATGATGATAACATGCAATTTTAATTATCTTATATTTGTATCACGTACTTATCCATGTACACTGCACTAAAAATGATCTTCGATGGCTATTAATTAATGACAATAACTTGATTGCTACTAAATATATGTTTTTAGAGGTACTTATATTATTAGTGACAATTACATTTTAGAACTCTTTGTAAATGTCACTAAAGCCTATAGTAGGACTGG